TTAAGTAAATACATTCGAATGATAGTAAATAAGCTATGCTCTTCTAACTAATAATGCTTCTATTTGGTTTGGCTTGTGTGAAAGAAGCCATGCCTTTTCTTGGAATTCTTGTATTTAGGGGTGGACAAGCAAAAATTATACTGGGATAAAAATTTAATATCGTATTATCTTTTGTTTGGTTACTAATTCTAGGATAATTTATCCCAAAATTAAAAATAATATTAGGATAATTTATACATGTCAGATGGTGAATAATAATTATATGATAAGTTATCCCAGGATAAAACAGTAAAATTGACGATCCCAGGATTAATACACACCAAACAATCAATAAAAAATAATACCAGGATAACTAATCCCAATATAATTACTCTCAGTATAACTAATCCAATATATCTTGTCTTCATACCAAACGACCACTTAGTATGTAGTTCGTGTCGTGAGGTCTAGTTATGATAGTTTTCTACCTTCAAAGTCTGTTTTATGGACCATCCTCAAGGCTTTTTCAAAATCTTTTGCGAGCTTCTACTTGCTTGTCCCACGAGATTATTTAGCAAGCCTTGTATACTTTCTTGAATCCTTCTAGTATTATAGCAGTCAATTGCTTACAAGAGTGAAGAAGTCACCAACTGTTCGTCGTTGATTAGTCAAGCATACGGTTGTCCAACGGGACGGGACATGACAAAATTAACGGGACGGGATGGGACGACATTTAGTCGGAACGGTGGCAGGACGGGACGAAACAGTAGGCCCATCCCGCTAACAAACGGGACGAGACGGGACAGACGGTAGGCCCATCCCGCTAACTAATGGGATGGGACGGAACGGGACGGATTCGGGGGCCTTAAGTGTCATTTTAAAAAAAAAAAATTATTTAAGCATTGAGTTTGGCAACAACTATTCTTTTGACAATGACTAAGTTTTTAAAGTTTGCAACAGCTAGTTTTTTGACTTATTTAATAAACTTAAAAATTAAACGGAAATTAGAAAACTAAGTAAAGAATTATAAAATATTAAAACAAAAGACTAGTAATGAAATATTCTAGTAATTATAAATTTATAATAGAGTTATAATTTATTTAATATAATTTTAAGCCATTAAGTAACTAAGTAAGAGTGTAAGACAATTCATAAAAATAAAAAAAAAATTAACGCTTAGAGCCTTTTATTTTATTAATAGAACTTTAAAATCTCACATACAAATATAATTCTTTTGAATAGCACATAATCTATGCAGCCACCTTCTAGGAAGGGTTTTGTTTGAACTAAGCCTCTTAGTAGCCAATTACAAATTATCATACTAATATTTGTAAGCTCATATATAACTTCGTTGTAACTTATCTATAATTTCTCTCGGTCATTATTCTGGAATTGGCAATGTTGATTGATGTCCCATGAGTTCCATGCCGTCATCGCTCCCAGTGCTAAGTATCTCATTGTATTCTTCTTCTTCCCTAGTGGTTAATTTTTCAAAACCAAGATTTCTTCTTTCTGAATTAATCCAATCTCTGAATAATACGAAAATCTCTAGGCTGTCCTCCGCTAATGAATGTCTATGATCTCCGATTTAAAATCTTGTCGCGCTAAAAGCACTCTCCGATGCTACTGATGATACTTGAATAGCAATGATATCTCGGGACATTATTGAAAGTATTGGAAAAGTCTTGCCATGCTCCCTCCACCATGCCAAAAGTTGTTCGTTGCCTTCTTCGTCTTTAATATTTTTCGATCCTTGATTAAGATAAGAATCAAGTTCATCATCAATAGATAAATCAAAACCTGTTATATCATACATATCTTCCCATAGAACTTCTACTCTAGACTTAGAAGTAGAAGGAGCAGTTTCACCACTTGTTGTTTTCATAGATTTATATTTATTAAACATTGATCTAACATAATAATATATGTTAGTTTGGCAGTCTTCGAGAGATGGTTGTTCATTTTCTTGAATTGCTAAATTCTCATAAATTTTACGAACAAGTCCATTTGTACCTCTTAATTTTAAAGATGAGTTAAGTATAGTAGAAATTAAATAAACTTGGGGAATAGGGAAAAAATACTTTTAAAATTTTGCAATCATTTCATTCATGGCCGGTGCATAAGTTGGATTAGTTTTATACTTACTAAATACAACAGAAATTCCACAAATATACCATAATATTTGTGTAACAGTAGGATAATATATACCAGAAAATTATTTTGTAGCATAATAAAGTTTTTCTAAAAATTTAGTAAGCTCTTTGATATGATCCCAATCAGAATCAATAATTTGATCAGCGGGGATACCATTATGCATATTAAATACCTTTGTATAGGCACCCGATAATCATAAGCAACTTTAAGCATTTCATAAGTAGAATTCCACCTAGTACAAATATTTTTTGGAACTTTTCTATATGGAAGGTTAGCACTAGCACATTGTTGAGCAAATTCACGAATTCTACTTGCTTTATTAGCACGAAAAATATAGCTGCAAGCATGTTGTACTTTACTACAAGCATCAGAAAATAAATCAATACCATCTTTTACAACCAAGGACGCGGGACAGGCGGGACGGAATAAAACGGGACGGGACAAACAGGACGAAATGGCCATCCTGTCTCATCCCATGTCCCGTTTAACATGGGCCCATCCCGTTTAGAATTAAGTGGGACGGGACAGGACAGGACGTGAGACGGGACATGATGCGGGACGGAACCGAGACTGAACAGGACGACCCAGCCCGTTGGACAACCTTAGTCAAGCCCAAAATGAGAATTGAAAAAAACAAGAGGGCTCCTCTCCATTTATCATTCTTTTCATTTCTCCAAATTCTTATTTGGATGTGAGCCACATGCCATGGTTAAGAATTACAGGTTGAGATTTAATTTACCAAATCAAAGCCCTCTTCATGGTTAATATATAAGTTTTTAACATATGTTTTTATATTAATTTCTTAAATTTCTGAAGCTTTTCTTTTTTCTACATTTTTGAACTTCCATAATTTCATCTTTTTCCTTCCTCTTGTTTTATTATGCTACTAGAGACACATATTTTTTTTGTATTTTGAGTTAATCTTTACTTGTTCATTATTGTGTTCCCTTTCTCTTTGAAATTATCGACCCTTACTATTTTATCCTCGTCCTATTTATTGTACCTTAGAAGGGGAGTCTTTGAGCAACGATAAATTTTTTTCGGTTTGACCTATAAGTCACAAGTTCAAGCCGTGGAATCAGCCACTAATGCTTGCATCATGATAGACTGCCTACACCACACCCTCTTGGGGTGCGACCCTTCCCTAGAACCTGCGTAAACGCGAGATACTTTGGGCACTATCATTTTCTTCTTATTGTACCTTCATTGTAATTTGTTTAATGAATTTTATTGGCGGGTAAGATAATCTTAGTTTTCTTACAGTACCAAGGGATTACTACAATAGCCCAATTCAGCATTATAGATGTTGGTACAAAATATTCCTTTCGGACCACTTTAATTAATTTTTTAGTTGTTTTTACACATACAAATAATCCACCTTTTAACATTACAACTTGTTTGGATTGTTGTTACATATCGTTTTATAATGTATCGTATTGTATTGTTTGTTGAATACAATATTTGGATAGATTGTATCATTTGTCGTCGTTTCATGATGTCATGCACCAACAATATGAAGAATAAACTTGCAAGTTACAAAGAAAAAATAGGATACAAAGTAGAATTATTATATAAAAATTAGGATAAAATATGATTATTTAATAATAAGGAAGGTCAAGATGAGAGGAAAAAAAAAATAAGGAAACGACGCTACCATACCAAATCCGTCATTCCATAATGTGACACTTTTCGTCGTTACATAACGATGGATTTAACGATACGGTGCAATAAAATTTAAGTAAGAATCAAAACAAACATTGTATTTAAAGTAACAATATGATACAATAGGTAACAACCATCCAAACTAGTTGTTAATTAATAATAAAATTGACCATATTAACATTTAATATCTCTTTAATTTGTTCATTAAAAATATAACAAATACTTCACTACTCTTTAATCCAAGTGCAACTTTGAAAAAAAAGAAGTTAGTTCCTTTTTGATATTTGAAAATATTAAATATTATGGACAATAAAAAAAGCTAAAAAAATTAATTAAAGTGGATCACAGGCAGTAATCAATTAGCATCATAAAAAGAGCACCTAGTTATGAAAAATAGGGATCTTTACGTAAACAGTCGACCAAATTCATTGTTTACTTTTTTTAACCAATATACATGGATTATACAGTGAATATACATGATTATACACATATTATACATGGATTACAAATATATTATACATCTATGGACTATTTTAAATTTAAGTGTTTGGCTAGGTGGCTATTTAAGTTAATTCTTCTAAAAAATATTTGAGGTGTCATACCTGTTGATAGCTAATTTTTTAATAAAAAAAGTGCCATTAAAAGATTAACTCAAAGAGGAAATGAATGATAAATCGTAAAAAAAGTAGCAAAATAGAGAACGACCCGTTAAAAAAAATTTCGAGGGAAAAGTTCATATATATGTAACTCAGAGGCAGATCCATGATTTGAAGTTTATGGATTCGTAAATATACAATAAGTAATTGGGTTCACATTTAAATATTTAGATTCACATTTAAATATTTTAGGTTCACATTTAAATATTTATAAATATTTAGTGGTTTTTTTAATACATATATACGGTATGTGCAAAAGTTACTGATTCACGGGAACCACACCTCCCTGCTGTAGATGAGATGATATGCAGCTAGTTACCTAAATATTTGGAAGCAAATATATGAATATTTATTTTTTTAACCATGATTAGAATCTTATCTTAGTTAATTAAATCTCAATCAATAGATTTAAACTATGCCATGTGTCTTTTATTCAAGTGGAATATATAGAAAAAGAAAATGGAAAATGGAGGGGAGTTGGATCCAAAATCTACAATTCTTAAAAGTGTTGGGGTTCAATTGAACTATTACACATCTACAGAGGACCCAATAAAACCCAGCACCACCACGCGACCCCGTCCCATCCCAATTCCCAAACGGGAACTCAGTCGGGTGTGATGGAGGAAGAGGGAGGTGGATTCAGGCTGAGCAAGAGATTCTCTGATAAAGGAGGTGAAGTAGACTACAAAACTAAAGCTGGCACTGCTTGGTCTCACAATTTCCTTAACCAGAAGCCATGGCACCCTCTCTCTTACCCAAACCAACGTCGCAAGTGGATTGCCGAACAGACTCATGCCCAGAGAGAGCAACGTGCTAACGAAATTGCCCGCGAGGTTTGGTTTTTCAACCAACCGAATATATACCCAATATTCCTTTTCATGAGACGATTTTCTTGATTTGGGGTTTTGTTAGTTTGCTTAGTTTTGTCAAAAAGTTTCAATTTTGCTTCTGGTTTGTTGCTTTTCTGATCTGGGTGTGTGTTTCAGTATGCTCAAGAACAGGAGTATTTTCGTCAGACTGCTCTTGTCTCCAAGAAAGAGAAAGAGAAGGTAACCATTTTTATTTATTAAGTTCTGCTTGATTTTTTGGTTATTTTCACCCTATTTAATCCCCTTTTTCTCATTAAAAAAGTTGCATTGTTTGGTTAAAAATATCATTTTTTAATCTAACATCCACATATTTCTTCAAGGAAAAGGATGAATAAGAATTGGTTATTCAATGATTACACGTTTAAATAATTTGAATCAGTTTCATAATCCAAAAACAAACAGGTACATAATGTTTGATGCATTTATATGTGAAAGAATCATGGCATATTCTCTTCAGGGTTGTAAAATATGAAGCAAATAGTATTGCACGTGCGGTGTTTTGGGATGTTTTTCTGTGGAGATTGATTTGTTTGTCTGACAATGTTGTTAGATGGAGATGATGAAAGCTGTTAGCTTTATGTATGTGCGACCGCCTGGTTACAATCCGGAAAGTGCAAAAGCTGCAGAGATTGCTGACGAAGCACAAAAACAGGGGCATGTTGGCACTTCTCAAGAAACATCTGCAGCAGGGGCCTCCATTTCTGGGTAATGCTGCTAAGCTGCTGTAGTTCTCGATGATTCTAAACCTAAATTTTGTGAAAGAGACTGCTGCACCATGTATCATTGGTTGTAAAACTTAGACTCACTTATATTACTTTAATTCGTTCATAGGAGACCTGAAGTGCCACCTGTTCAGGAGAAAAAGAAACCAAGGCCAAAGGATGTTTTTGGCCGTCTTTTGCCAACAGAAGAAGAATTTGAAGTGCTTAAAAATGCTCCAAGGTATGTGCTGTTTTCCTTCAGGATTGATAACCAAGTTACAGAATTATATTTGACATCATCTTTTCAGTTTTAAGCTATTTGAATTTGAGGAGATTTATAGTTTAGCAGTTTGTTTTTCTAAAGCTGCTTGGAACCACTTGTTCTGGCAGTTTGATGAGCTATATTATACCTTCTCTTTTCTTTATTCCCTTTCAAGGAGTTGTACAAAGAAGGAAAATTGCTTGTCTTGTGAGCCCTAGAATGGAACATTTCTCCCTTAAATGTCTATTAGCTGACTAGACATTATGTTGCAAAGCATTGAATATCAGACACATTGTATTGTGGTGTATAAATTGGAGGGAAATAGATACCGACAAGACATGTATGAAGTAATTGGTCTAGCTATTAACTTTTCAAGTGGTGATTCCTTAGGTACATTTTTTCTTTTGTAATTAGTCAAGCTATTCATCACTACTTCACCAAGATCGTGTTATTATCTTAGGCACAATTATTTGAATAGACTAAATCCGCTTGATGTAATTGTGCCTTTGTCTTTTTTATTGCATAAGCATTTCTCACCTCCTTTTTAGCAATGGTGCTACTGTTTTTCTACCATCCTTCTGGTTTTGGAACTAGGATCCAGGTAAAATTGGTGTTTGCAGGGTTAAATGGGAATCTGAGACATTCCACTTGCTAGTAAGGTGATTTTATTTTGTTTTAACGGGAAGTATGCAGGTTAGGAAATAAAAGAAATAGAAGCTTTCAAAATGAGAGATAACGGATTGACGTAAGCTACGATTTGGACAAGAGGAGTAACTGATGTCCCAGTTGAGAAGACCGAGACATCATCTTGTCATCTTGAGTAAAAATGTCTCTGTTGAGAACACTGCAACATCAAACCTTGCCTTCTATCTATTGTATACCCTTATTCGGACCATCTGTTGGTGGTTATGACTAAATTAACTGGTTAGCCTTGACTTCATAAATTTGTAAGAGAATACAAAACTTAAAGGACTTATAAAGCACCAACTCAACCAGCAAGTTCAACTGCCCCTCTCTTTCTACTCCAGCAGAGAAGTAGAACATAGCTTACTCTAAAAGTTCATCTTCCTTGTCCTTATTCCTATTCTTCAAACCAGCGAAGCATATGCCTCAACTCAAAGACATATACTTGGACACACAGCTAAGGGGTGTGGCCTAGTGGTCAATGAAGTAGGTGCAAACCTTGGAAATCAGGGTTCGAATGCAGCGACAAAACGTACTAGGTGATTTCTTCTCATCTGCCTAAGCTTGTTCGGTATCTGTACTGGTGGGAGATTGCAAGTACCGGGCGGAATAGTTAAGGTGCGCGCAAGTTGCCCCATATACAACAACAACATACCCAGTATAATCCCACAAGTAGAGTTTGGGGAGGGTAGTGTGTACGCAGACCTTACCCCTACCTGGAGAGGTAGAGAGGCTACGATAGACCCTCGGCTCAAGATAAGTGGAAAAGAAGAAAAGGAAAAAAAGAAGCAGAAGAAAGATGGGGAGAAAGAAAGACGAGGGAGACAAAAGACGATAAGGAAAAAGAGGAGAAAAAGAGCAACAATTTTCAGTAAAAGGGAGAAAGAGTAGCAAAAACAAAAAAGGAATAGAGGACATATACTTGGATGCATGGAGATAATATGTCTTCAATTCATACTATCTTAGTGCCACTCTAAAATCTTTTTGATGAGAATTTTTTTTAAAGTTGTTTGCTGCGAATTGAGTTTGAGAAGTTCACTTTTTTTTTCCGCCTCTAAACAGAGTTTTCCACATTTAAATCAGCCATCCAAGTGTCTAGTGATGCTTTTGGGGGCCGGTGGACTCTCTATCCATTGCTTTACATGAATGCAACTTTTTGGGGTGTTGTGATGTTAATACGAATTTTTCAAAAACAATTATATATCCACTGCTTTTGAGGATCTTGTCATCAAGAGGATTCTAAGTTGCTATATCGTTGGATTTTTTTTTTTTTTTTTGATAAGTCACTAGATGGATCTTACTCCTCCCTTAAAAATGTTGAATTGTCTTTATTTAGGATTCTCTTTGTAGTAGATTTTTTTCTCGAATGAAGTCCCTAAAGGGGTTATCAAAGAAAAGATGGAGCTACTGATACTATGCTTGTTCTCATTGGAGAGGGATCGATGAGGTGTCGAACGTTTTCTTTTTTTAATCTTTTGTATCCGCTTAAGGAAGAAAGTGATTTCAACAATTGAGATTTGCTGTCCAAGAACATCATCTGGTGGGAATCATTGTCTAGGCTCCACAAAAGAGTGTAACTGTCTGAGATGCAATAGGCACTATGCGGGATGTCAAGGTGATAAAATGGTGAAACTAAAATGAAAATTTTCAAATCCTTGACCTTCTCTAGTTTTCTTCTTACTAAAATCTTATTTCAGTATTTCCAAGCTACAACGACGGGATCTATATTTGTGCTAAGAAGATTGATGGAAATTCATTGCGAGAGGAAGCATAACCTACACGATATTCATTGACATAGGGAAAGCATATAATAGAGTGCCAAGAGAAGTCCTTCAGTGAGTGTTACCTGTTTAAGAAGAAAAAAATTGATATTAATCATATAAATGTCATAAAGAATATGTACAAATGTGTTATCTCTAGCGTTAGAGCAATGTAGGAGATACAAAGTAGTTTTGTATTACAGTAGGTGTACATTAGGGATCTGGCATCTGGAATTAGATCAATATTTGTTTACGCTAGTTAGGGATGAGTTAACTAACATTATACTGGGTGAAGTCTCGTGGTGTGATATTAGCGTATGATTGTGTTAATTGACAATACTATCGGAAGTGTCAACCAAAAACTTAAACTATGGAGAATCACGCTAGAGAGTCAGGGTTGTAGTATGAGTAAAATAAGACTATACTGGCCACAAATGGATAGTGAAGTTGAGGTTATATGGCTTGTACACGAGGTTTCTCCCATCATTAATAAAATTATTTACTTTATCAGGAGAAAAGAAGGTGAAGTTGGGGTGAGATTAGACGGGATTATAGTGCTTAGACACAAATTGTTATGACTAGGCTCGATGAGATGCAAACTATTTAGATGTTTAGGTTTGACTCTTAAGAGGATGTTATGATAGATGAAGATGTAATGCATAGAATGAAAATAGGATGGTTGAAATGGATAAGTATTACCAGAGTGTTATGCAATAGGAAAGGCAAGTTCGGCACAATGGTTGTAAGACCGATAATGTTTGTTAAGATTATATCAATAAGATGAGTGTCATAGAAATGTGAAGGTTAAGATTATGTGCAGTCCTACAAGATTAGAGTGGATTAGAAAAGATGACATTCTGTCAAATGTACAAGCAATAGGATAAAATGAGAGGTCACTTGAGATGGTTTGGACATGTCATACGTCGATCTCTAGAGGCATTGCTCTATAGGTGTGAAACCATGGTGATTGAAATGTGTTAAAAAGGGGACGAGTTAACCTAAGAAATTATATGAAAAAAATTTATAATCTCTTGAAATCCATACAGACTTGGTGAAAGATAGGGTATAATGAAAGAAAAAGATCCATATAGGCTATATCAGTTAGTTGCGATTAAGGCTTTTAATCATGTAGTGCACTTATGCCTTATCAAAGAAATCATGTTAGTACACTTACTTTAAAATCCAACATTGCTAGGAATTTTTTATCTTGTTAGAGGTCTGTTATCCCAGTAGAAAATGTTGAAACCTAGTGTTGGAGAAGATAGTGAAGATTCATACCAAACCCAACTAGCTTGGGATTAAGCCAGAGTTGTTGTAATCTTTTTCTGGGCTTTATTGGCTTCCTTGGTGGTATTTACTGAATATTTTCTTTCCAATGCAGAGCCAATTCTGATTTTCTTTGAGTTAATAATGTGATTGTGCAAATTAAGATCTTCCTGTTGTTAATATATCTTCCTCGTTTTGCTTCTGTCTATTCTATTTTTTTTTTTTTTTTTTTTTTTTTTTTGGCTTTTCAATCTATTATGGTGGAACTGAACTTATGGTAGCTTTTGCCTTCCGAGTACCAAGATATATTGATGCCAGATGATTGTTCTTCACCTCTAGGTTGGAAACAGGTGTTGCTGGAAGGGCCAAACCATTTGGAATTGAGATACGTAATGTCAAATGCGTCAGATGTGGAGCCTTTGGCCATCAGAGTGGCGATCGTGAATGTCCATTGAAAGATGCTATTATGCCAAATGAAGAGAGTCGAATAAAAAGAGATGATCCTTTAACTGCTATCCTGGCTCAGACAGATGCTTCTGAGGTAAATGGGCTATGTTTATGTGTGCGTGCATGGTTTTTTTCCTTTTTCTCCACCACAAGCTAAAGTGGTCTGTTTGCGCGTCCATGTTTTACTTTTTCTTACATAGCCATTATGACTGGACCAGTTGACCTCCCACCAAAAAAA